CCCAGCAGACTCATTGCTGCTCAAAGTGAGCGAATGATTAACTTGGAAATGCGGGGACAAGCCTTTGTTTATGAGCAGTTTAATTCCAGAAAACGGGACAGGAAAGATATCGTGCGCCTTATTGTGTATATTTTCAATCGAACCGGGTCCGTCATCGTAAGGTTTCGTTTCCGCTTGAAGGGGAGATGGATCCATTTAACTTGCAAATAATTAAACTGAAAACTCCAAAGATTCTACAATGTCCAAGGAGTCAGTTGTAGCCAAAATAGACTCAGCAAGCAACACGCGTACAAATCGTGGGTGCCGCTCCGAAAGTGAGTGAAGTAAAAGTTCAACCTCAGGTTGGCGCTATGATTCTTTTGGAACCAAAGTTCTTTTCTGTATATATTTTCGCAGTCACGGCGGTAAATTCCACTAGCAGTATAAAAATGGGTGTTTTAACTGTACTTTTGTTTAAATTCGGACGAGTAGTATCGTTAGATACAACATAATAATGGATAAAATGTCCAAAACGACGCCATTAATACGGAAAAATTCTCTCAAAGTTAATTAGTGAGAAACTTCTTAAACTGCCAAAATTGTGTTTAAAATGTTTGGTAGGGACCATTTGGGAATTTTAACAATTAAAAACAGGCAAGAGTAACAATGCATGACAGAGCAAAATGTAAATCGCCATAAAAAGTGTGTGGGAGACAGGGGACGAAACCAACGCGCATACCATTGTGCGTATGAAAAACGGAGCAACCGTCCACGCTGCTAACAGCATCGAACCTGACGTTGTTCTCTTCACAGCTAGATTAGGTTTAAGCTCTGTTCGTATTGTTTGCTTTGCAACCCGTAATGTTACCTTCAAAGGAGGCAATTTGATTGATTGTGTTTCTTTTTTATATATTTGCGAGCATTTTATTTACTTTCTCCCGTTCCCTTAAATAGGTCGTAAGCGTCTCGGATAAAATTCCTTTATTAACTCGACAAATGTAACAGAAATTTAGACTTCTCGTCCAGCGTGCAGACCTAAATTCCCTGCAGCAACTTTCATTTAACCTACAGTCGGTCTGAGATTCTTGGGCATGTTCATTAGTTTTGTCGTTACCGCAAGCTAAGTCTGGTCTTTTGAAATTTTCTGTAAGTTGATATTCCGGATTTTTCAGGTTTATTGCAATTATAACCTATGTCGCCCTCTTATAGGTCGCTGTCATGAGCACCAGTGATCCTAAGTACATTTTAGAAAGGCTAGTTCTAATATTTATGGTTTTACAAAAAAAGAAGATAAGGCTAGTAGTTCGGCCTGCTTTTGAAACAATCAGGGCGAAGTTTGAAATTGTTTGCGAATTGCAAGTTTTTCGAGGTTACGTGTTTTTAGTCTCTATCTCAGTATAGAAGACACGCTTCTTGGAAATTATTCAAGAATTGACTTGATATTTCCAAATTTTGGAATAATCGACGTGGAAATCTCCATCCTGTCGCTCTGAAAAATTCCTCTGCTGTGAATTATTTCCAAAGTTTTGATCTGTGGCTCAGAAAAACTCTTCTGCTGCGGATTATTTCCGAATTTTGGAAATTGCTTCTTGGACGTGTCGATTTTGTGGCTCTGAAAAACTCCTCTGCTGTGGATTTTTTACCTACCTGAGCATTAATCCCAATTGGAATTTCAAGCTGCAATCTCTGCTCATCTCCGAATTTCACGCCGACTGTGTGATCCCAGTTTCT